TAGCGAAGGCTTTATACTCCTTTAAATTGTCCTTATTTATTCAAATTTAGAAAGGAGCAATATCCGGCCACTATGATATACATGCTACATATGGTGATAATGATTGTTAGTAATTAGCAAAGGCTTTATACTCCTTTAAATTGTCCTTATTTATTCAAATTTAGAAAGGAGCAATATCCGGCCACTATGATATACATGCTACATATGGTGATAATGATTGTTAGTAATTAGCAAAGGCTTTATACTCCTTTAAATTGTCCTTATTTATTCAAATTTAGAAAGGAGCAATATCCGGCCACTATGATATACATGCTACATATGGTGATAATTATTGTTAGTAATTAGCAAAGGCTTTATACTCCTTTAAATTGTCCTTATTTATTCAAATATAGAAAGGAGCAATATCCGGCCACTATGATATACATGCTACATATGGTGATAATGATTGTTAGTAATTAGCAAAGGCTTTATACTCCTTTAAATTGTCCTTATTTATTCAAATATAGAAAGGAGCAATATCCGGCCACTATGATATACATGCTACATATGGTGATAATGATTGTTAGTAATTAGCGAAGGCTTTATACTCCTTTAAATTGTCCTTATTTATTCAAATATAGAAAGGAGCAATATCCGGCCACTATGATATACATGCTACATATGGTGATAATGATTGTTAGTAATTAGCGAAGGCTTTATACTCCTTTAAATTGTCCTTATTTATTCACATTTAGAAAGGAGCAATATCCGGCCACTATGATATACATGCTACATATGGTGATAATGATTGTTAGTAATTAGCGAAGGCTTTATACTCCTTTAAATTGTCCTTATTTATTCACATTTAGAAAGGAGCAATATCCGGCCACTATGATATACATGCTACATATGGTGATAATGATTGTTAGTAATTAGCGAAGGCTTTATACTCCTTTAAATTATCCTTATTTATTCAAATTTAGAAAGGAGCAATATCCGGCCACTATGATATACATGCTACATATGGTGATAATGATTGTTGATAATTAGCGAAGGCTTTATACTCCTTTAAATTGTCCTTATTTATTCAAATTTAGAAAGGAGCAATATCCGGCCACTATGATATACATGCTACATACGATGATAATGATTGTTAGTAATTAGCAAAGGCTTTATACTCCTTTAAATTATCCTTATTTATTCAAATGTAGAAAGGAGCAATATCCGGCCACTATGATATACATGCTACATATGGTGATAATGATTGTTAGTAATTAGCAAAGGCTTTATACTCCTTTAAATTGTCCTTATTTATTCACATTTAGAAAGGAGCAATATCCGGCCACTATGATATACATGCTACATATGGTGATAATGATTGTTAGTAATTAGCGAAGGCTTTAATTATCCTTATTTATTCACATTTAGAAAGGAGGGGGCATTCAGCCAACTGAAATATTGGTAAAATAAATGTTATTTTGATCCAATAAATGTCTTTTTAATTAAAGATTTTTTTTTTAATTGCTCTATTTTTAAAACATATATACATATACACACACACATATATATATAATCCAATCAGCTTGCAATGTTTTTTTTATCTCAGTGGTTGCATTGAGGAACAAAGTACTATATCAATTAACAGAGCGTATATACTAATATAAAGTACATTAATTTACAATATTGACTTTATATACTAGTAATTAAGTTTATATTCTTCATGGCTATAGAGAGCTTCTTAAAAAAAAATTTTTTCCTTCTTCTTTCTCTCTACAAATTTTAAAAATCTAATTGTGAGAGGGTATATGCAATTAAGAGTTCATTATGTGTAAAAGAAAAGGTTTTTTAAAGTAAAATCTCAAGGCCTATCAAATTTCTATCAGACTAATTACGTTATTGGATGAAAAATCTTCTTTTCTGACGTCTGCCTTTAGGCCGGCCGGTTGCTTCTAATTTGGTTTAACACGTTGCTAATGAGATTGCTACAATATCGTCTTTTTATATATGTGTGAATTTGTATTAATAATTAATAATCTATTTTTAACTTCCTTAATAAAGGCTTGGATACTCTGACAAATGGATATTAATGAAGACAAGGAAGGGTGTAAATTTTAATTTTTTTATTTTGAAGTTTTCTTTTTTTTAAATAGAGATTAATTTAAGTTTTGACACAATCTTCTTATAATTGATTGAATCATTTTTTGTATTTTTATTTGAAAATGTTTTTTTTTTTCGTTAAAGATCAATTGAACATACACCAAATAGAGTAAAACAATAGTACAAATGTGATATTGTACTCGGATAAGGTGTATAAATTCTGAAAAAGGCATCTCTTTATCGTGAAACTGAAAGTTGCTGATGGCTTACGCCATTCTATCGGAATAAATATCAACTATTTGCTGATATTTAAAAATCGAATATTTGATATTTATTCCGATAGATGGCGCAAACCATCAGCAACTTTCATTTGCACGATAAGGTGATGTCTTTTACTTTTTCTTAATACCAAATAGCGTTATCTATTGATGAAATATGTTAATTTAAAAACAGAATAGTAATAACAGGTGTGAGGTGTTCTTAGAATCTGATCGGAAAATAAGGGAAACGGGACGCCTCGGTGGCTGACGCCGCTCATTATTATTATCTTTACCTTGGGATAAGTTGTTATCTCCCTCCCTATAAATACCTCTTGTATATAATTTTATTGGGGAACTAAAAGGTAAATACCCACCTTTATAATAAATTAGCTATTAATATTTCCAAATTTGCTCTTTTTATAATTACTATTCTCTATACAACTGACTTAAAAAATATATTTATACCAAAAGAGGCACCTTTCCCTTTAAAATCTATTAAAACCATGCAATTTGGTTCATTACTCTATCATTCTCTACAGATCATAATTATTAAATAGAAAATTTAAAGGGAGAGATGAGCGTATTTTTGTACATGGATAATATAATTTTACCTTTTGTAATATATATAAATGTATAACGTGAGTAAAAAAATATTTTGGGAGAAAAGTGGAAAAAGGTAGAATAAGTAAGTATGTCTTCAATAAAGGTCAATGTAATATCTTTCAGAGTTATTGTCTGAATCCCGATATACATGCTACAAGGTACAACTTCCTTAAGTTTTGTTCATGAGTGTATATTGGTTATCTCGTGTGTCTTCAATAAAGGTCACTGTAATATCTTTCAGAGCTATTGTCTGAATCCAGATATACATGCTAAAAGGTACAACTTCCTTAAGTTTTGTCCATGAGTGTATATTGGTTATCTCGTGTGTCTTCAATAAAGGTCACTGTAATATCTTTCAGAGTTATTGTCTGAATCCCGTTATACATGGTAAAAGGTACAACTTCCTTAAGTTTTGTTCATGAGTGTATATTGGTTATCTCGTGTGTCTTCACTAAAGGTCACTGTACTATCTTTCATAGTTATTGTCTGAATCCCGATTACATGGTAAAAGGTACAACTTCCTTAAGTTTTGTCCATGAGTGTATATTGGTTATCTCGTGTGTCTTCAATAAAGGTCACTGTAATATCTCTCAGAGTTATTGTCTCAATCCCGATATACATGCTAAAAGGTACAACTTCCTTAAGTTTTGTCCATGAGTGTATATTGGTTATCTCGTGTGTCTTCAATAAAGGTCACTGTAATATCTTTCAGAGTTATTGTCTGAATCCCGTTATACATGGTAAAAGGTACAACTTCCTTAAGTTTTGTCCATGAGTGTATATTGGTTATCTCGTGTGTCTTTAATAAAGGTCACTGTAATATCTTTCAGAGTTATTGTCTGAATCCCGTTATACATGGTAAAAGGTACAACCTCCTTAAGTTTTGTGTCCATCAGAGCAAATATAAATAGGTTTAGTATAGTAGTTATACTATACTATATATACTATTCTAATTATACTAAATTTTTTATTTGAAAAGAAATGACGAGGATATATTTTATTAAAGGCATTTTATTTAATGAAAAAAAAATTTCAGCATATATATTAATAATATAGGAACTTCTAATTATTCTGCTTCTCAGAGATATTTGTTGGAAAATTATATTTATAGATATGTTCCACTCACATACATATTTGGATGAACTTTATCTATATTTACTGATGTACGTGTACCTATTTTAATAATAGTAAATATATTTAAAACATTATAATGCCCTCTATTATATATATAGCTTAGTCAGATAGTATATGAAAAAAATCTATGGATATTTCTTCTATGAAATTCAAAAAAAATAATAATAAAAAGCACACACAGTGAAATATAATCAAAGGAAGAATTTTTTAAAATATCGGTATCCATCAAAGGGATTTTTTATTAAGCTTTAGTAAAATACAAATACTATTTACATATTGGTCTCTAAGAGGATTATATTAAAGTGACTTTGTGTTTGCCAATAAATAATAACAACAAAATATCGATTATCGATACATTCGGGGAATAATTTTCAGAATAATCTTTTTGGATTCCATCGGCTGCTTTGCATAGAAAAATGGCGGGAATATTTTTTGGCGGGAAAAAAAATTGGCGCGAAAACAATAGAAAATATATTATATATATTTTGCGATAAAAACAAATATTTGTTTCAATTTCCTTTTAGTAAATAGAATTCAATTAATATCTAATATAATTGGTATCTATAAATATTATTTGTAAAAAAATACAAATTTTGATTTAAGATATTATTGTGTATACACCGGTGTAAAATATCTGCTTTGTTATTATTGTCGTCAAAATAATATTGAATCAAAGAATACAATGTTATTATATATAAGATTGTTATTTTCCTTATTAAATTTCCACAATACATTATTCCTTTTTACTAATGTTTCTCGATATAATTGCCTTTGGTGATCAGTCACTAAATCTGTCCGGGACGATATTTCGATAATTGTAAATAAATAAAAGATAGAGAAACCCGGGTTCGAACCTAGGGCCTGTAGATCTTCAGTTAAATGATTTCCCAACTCAGCTATTTCTCTTAGTTTTTCTAAAATCTAAGATGCAGAAACCTGGATTCGAACCTGGGGCCTGTAGATCTTCAGTAAAATGATTTCCCAACTGAGCTATTTCTCTTAGTTTTCTAAAAACTAAGATGCCGAAACCCGGGTTCGAACCTGGGACCCTTAGATCAGTCTAATGAATCCTTAACTGAACTATTTCTCCTTATTCTAGTTCAAAGTTCAATATATAAAGATTTTTTAATCTTTTATCAATAAAAAATAATTGGCTTATTATAAACAAAATATTTGATGCGTGTGTTATTTAGAAATATCTTATATATAATTGCCTTAGTGATCATTCGAGAAGTTTAGTATTCTAATAAATTGAACAAGTCAAAAGAGAAGTATAAAGAGAAGAGAAATTAATAATTCTATATTTTAATTATAAATGATAATTATTTTAAGAGTGGATTATTTCTGTAATAAAGTAAAATAATGTACTAAATATAAAATAACACACTAATATACAAGTAAATTTATTTTACAAATGAAAATTAAAAGGTAAAGAATCAAAATACGATGTACACCTTATTTCACGCCTCAAGAACTTTCTCTCCGAAAATTTGAAATATACGCTAGCATTATATCAGCCCTTTCACGCCAACTAAAATATATTTTTGGTAGTTTCGGCCGGTGTTTATAACTAGCCGTAGGTTGATATTGTTGCATCATGGGGCTAATTTAAATTCAAATTTATATGTTATATTTATTTATTTTATTAAACATAATATATGTATTATAAACAGAATATATGTATTATAGAATCATCATTTGTATTTAGATACACTGTGTGACTTCACTGCTCTCTTCTTTGATGTGAGAAATAAATAAATTATTCTGGAGGCTACTTAAAGTTATCTCATTATTCCCTTATATAAATTTGTAGGATGGTTGAAACACGCTCTGGTAAGATACAAGACCCGGCACAGGAGAGAATCAAGGTTGAAGAGCCTGTCAAGCTGCAACCTGGTGCAACAATCTATATATATAATTGCCTTATTCTGTCTGAAGCTCACGGATAGAATGCGCGCCCATTGGCTGCCGGCGAACACGTGTCCTCCCTGCCCCCCTCTAGACAACCCTGTTATCAGCTGTGTGATACATACACCTGTCTATAGCGGCCATTCTAGACAACCCTGTTATCATCAGTGTGTTACATCCACCTGTCTATACAGACCACCCTGTCTAAAGCGACCACTGACCACCCTGGCTATAGCGACCACTCTAGACAACCCTGTTATCAGCTGTGTGATACATACACCTGTCTATACAGACCACCCTGTCTATAGCGGCCACTCTAGACAACCCTGTTATCAGCTGTGTGATACATACACCTGTCTATACAGACCACCCTGTCTATAGCGACCACCCAAGACAACGTTTTTAAAATATATTCGCACTCGGGTAAAACCCGGGCGTTGCCCGGGCCATTCGTCTAGTATGAAATAAAAGACTTCCCTGTATTGATGAGTACTAAAGCATTAAACAATGGTGACGAGGTTGACAGCTGTGCGTCTGAGTTTACCAAAACTGGTGTTGCCATTCATTGCACTAGTCAGTGCGCCCTTTTTAGAGAAAATCAAAGCTATACAGTTTTTTTTTAATGTCTTTATTAAAAGAGAGAATTGTCTTTATTGCGCTTATATACATATACACATATATACACACATGGACAAAACTTAAGGAAGTTGTACCTTTTACCATGTATATCAGGATTGAGACAATAACTCTGAAAGATATTACAGTGACCTTTATTGAAGACACACGAGATAACCAATATACCAATGATTTCCCATACATGTGATTTCGAACTTTCTCTTTTATTAAATAGAATAAAATATAATAATAAACTAAAAATATATTTACACATTACAAGAGAAGAAATCTCCAGACATCATCTTGGAGAAGGAATCAAAGTTTACGGCGACCATCCTTCTTCAAAATAGGTACAACTTTCTTAAGTTCTGTCCATGAATGTAGGTAACCTGTTGGAATATACTTTATGCAACTTTCTTTAAGCCTAAATCAAACTCCAAGAAAACCAAACTAAACCCAACTAATTGAAAGATATGAACACACATTAATCGATTTTCCATTCCAGTCAAAAAAAAAAAAAAGAATAACCATAAAAGGAACAAACGATAAGATATAATTTCCCTCTTTAAAAAAAAAGCGTTATGATATTCATAAACTATTTTTCATACCTATAAATCAGCTCTATCGATGAAGATATGATTTCTTCCTTATTGGCGATATACATGGGGATAAAAAGGAAGGAGTTATAGAATCCATTCTGTCTGAATGAGGAGTATAGAAGGTTATCTTAATGGAAAGACTCCTTCCATCTAATTGCTCCCTTCCACTGCACTTAACGGTTATTGAATTAGCCTTTAAAACCGTTTTTTTTATAAACGAAAATTTTCTTTCTTTTTGAGAATTACCACCCATTACTGGTTTTCCTTCTAATCTCACGGTAATTTATTTGTATTTTTTAAAAAATGTTTTTATCAATTGTGATAAGGATGATAGAAGGACAGAGTTTTCCCTCTTATCTGGACTGGACGGACCGACCGGTCAAAATTATCTTTATTTACGGAGCTGCTAACCAGAATGAATGATTTTTGAGCCCCGATGGACGCATAAAGCGGAAAATATACAAAGCACTGTTGGAGGGGCCTGGGGATGGGTGGCCAGGGGATCATCGCCAGGTGAGGCCAGGAGAGCCGGGATATAGAGGAGAAAGTTTGCTCGGAAATATATTTATTTAAGAGTTTTCTAACCAATGATTTTTGAGCCTCGATGGAAGCATAAAGCGGAATATATACAAAGCACTGTTGGAGGGGCCTGGGGATGGGTGGCCAGGGGATCATCGCCAGGTGAGGCCAGGAGAGCCGGGATATAGAGGAGAAAGTTTGCTCGGAAATATATTTATTTAAGAGTTTTCTAACCAATGATTTTTGAGCCTCGATGGAAGCATAAAGCGGAATATATACAAAGCACTGTTGGAGGGGCCTGGGGATGGGTGGCCAAGGGATCATCGCCGGGGTGAAGGACCGACCAGTCGGGAAAAACAGTGGCGCCACGTGGAAAACTCAGTTTGCTCTAACTGATGGGTCGATTTGGCTCATGTACATAGTAACTTTTATATTTAAAAGACAATTCGCTGAGGGAAAAGTTTCTTTTATATATAACGGCAATACAAGTTTTCGGGCTCAACAGCCCTTCGACCGGTATAACTACGCTTTGGTAAAGTTTCGGCTACATGAACTCAGAAGATTTTGTTTAAATATATATGAATAAAAGATTACATGAGGAGCTGATTTTTCGATTTATTGCGATCTTTCGAACCTTTCGGTTCTTCTACAGGCATGGATAGCATGGATATACTAACAGGATTTATACGCGTTTGAGCCATTATATACATACATACACATTTACATACGAAGCAATATTTCAAATATAATTAAAATAGAAATAAGAATTATGACTATAAAAATATAAAACTATGCAAATAAAATTTAAACATTTTTAAAATTTGATAAAATTCGGGAAATACATTTATATACGCTAAAAATTGGAAATGAACGGTAAGCAGGGGGTCCCTCCAACCAGGTTACACTATGAGGGTTATCTAGGGCCACATGTTATGAATAATTTGTTGTTGTTGTTGTTAGATAAAGGGTTGATAATACAAAGGATCGATAAGATAAAGGGTTGATGAGATAAAGGGTTGAGGTGGCAGTCGTGATAAAAAAAAGATAATTATTTACCGTCAAGTAGCTTTTATTTTTAATTACCTGAGGAAATATTACACATTAGTTATTTTCACATTATATAGAATTTATAAAGTTAATCCTATATTAGTGATTCAAAAAGATAGATATGTTAACTACGCATATTTACAACAAAACTGAAAGTCATTTTAAAAACGATGACAACAAAAGTAGAATTATCAATGAATAAAAATTAAATATATATTTTTTAAAATATGGAAATATTTGAGTTTTTAGATTATATAATATATATATTTTCATAAACCAATGAAGGAGACAGAGGCTGTTCACACTTGGTTATCTCGTGTGTTTTCAATAAAGATCACTGTAATATATTTCCGAGTTATTGTCTGAATCCCGATATACATATTGAAAGGTACAACTTCCTTAAGTTTTGTCCATGAGTGTATATTGGTTATCTCGTGTGTCTTCTATAAAAGTCACTGTAATATATTTCAGAGTTAGTGTCTCAATCCCGATATACATGCTAAAAGGTACAACTTCCTTAAGTTTTGTCCATGAGTGTATATTGGTTATCTCGTATGTCTTCAATAAAGGTCACTGTAATATCTTTCAGAGTTATTGTCTCAATCCCGTTTTAGATGCTAAAAGGTACAACTTCCTTTTGCCAATGAATGTAGATCTGTTTGTTGAAGAACCACGGCTCGAAAGCTTGTCTTTTAAATACATAAAACAAAGATACCTGTAAATAATTTTGAAACTAGAATAAATCATTATTGTTGGTATGAATCGGATAAAAAAATAAGCACATAGACTATAGATGAAAATATAGTATTTATTTGAAAAATGAAGACCAACCAGAGTATAAATAAGTGAATTTACATATATTGGAATTTCAAATTACATTTAATGAAAAAATAAATTACTTTCTTCTCGGAATAATTTTAATAAATATATTTTCAAATATCCAATATTTTTACGCCATATATACATATATATTAAAATGTTGAATATATCTCATATGTGCATATTAGTAATTTAGATTATGCAAATCAATAAATCCACCCCGTTATATGGTAATAAAGAAAATATGTAATGGGAATTTCACCATGTGTTTTAAAGGAGGATATTCTGTGGAACAAAATCGTTTTAAATTCAATAATAATCAATTTTAGATATATGCAAGAAATAAATTACATATTTACAGAATGTGTGTGCAAAGAAATATTTCACATTATTAAACATACATTAAGGATATGAGAAGTAAAAAATAAACAACTTATATAATTTTTTTATCTTTAAAAATTCTTTTAATCCGATAAAAATGAATAAGATTTGT